AATCATCCTTCAAGTTGCTATGGTGAAGGCAACCCAAAAGGACCATGCACAACCGGATATAGTTAGAGCCTTAGACACTATTCCAACAAATATATCATATTTACAAGTTTGTCACCGTGTATTTTATGATAAGATGCTAATTAAATGATTGGTTTAGAATGATTCTCCCATTCTCAACCTTTTTTATTTTCTCAATTGAACTTACCTATCTATATATATATATATATATATATATATATATATATATATATATATATATATATATATATATATGTGTGTGTGTGTGTGTGTGTGTGTGTGTGTGTTGAATATTTATTAATTGATAAACAAAAACTTTTTTTTAAGTTTTTAATCCTTAATAATATTTTCATCTTAGAATAACATGACTAACCATTAATCGTTGAATGTTATAATACTTTTGGTCTAAGAATCATAGAAATGTATATAAGCAGGTAAAAGTTTGATGCAAAAGGATGCAAGAATCATGCTAGCTAAAAATGACTTTTACCAACATGACTATTAAGATATTAAGTTTATTCATTTTTATATCTTGGAATATTATTAATGTTTTACAAAAAGGAATGAAACCCAAAATTATGCTTGAATTAGTATCAATATTAATATAATAAGACATGAGCTTTTCAATGTTATGAGAATGGGACATTATGAAAGTGTACATGATAAAATGATAATTAGAAACTGATAACAAATGATAGAATGTCCTAGATTATTGAAAATTGAATTGGTAGATTATTGAAGTGTAATGATACATGTGTATATAATGAAAAACTGTGGACAAATTTTGAAACACAAAGAAAGGGGTATGAAAGAACTTGAAGCTTGAGGTTAAATAGTTTTTAACCTCCTACGGTGACTACATGTAGATTTTTTCTACTATGGGATTCATGGAAAAACAAGAATAACTTACGATTCAAAGTATGTAAGCATACATGAATGTTGAGAAGAATGACCTAAAGATTCAAAGTTTATTTATTTAAGCATACATGAATTTTTTCAACCATGTTAAAGATTATGTTGTCATGAATGCTTCCAAGTTATACATGTGTACGTGCACAAACACACACAGACAAACACGCACACACATTACACACAAATATACGATGGTAAAATATATAACCTGATATAGTTTGTGGTGACAATTAAAAGTTTAAGGATTTAATTAGAATGAGTAAACCTTTTATGGTCAAATTGTGACAATTTTGAGACTGCAATTTAAAAATAAAAGCTCCTAACACTTCCTATTTCATCTAGCGGCCAACTTTTTTGTAAGTATTTCTATGTCCTATTTAATTTTAACTAGAAAAGATTCTCCGGTCTTGCCGGGATCGGAAGGTATTACTTTGTAAAGTAAAGTAGCATGTTGAATTGCATTGAGATGATCTAGTAAAGGAAGATAAACAATGTCATCTAATTACATAAGTAAAAAAAAATCTAAATCATTATTTCTTGCAATAAATGAGGAAAATAAAGAAATGATCTCACAAATTGAACTTTATTGTCATGTATGGCAGCGGCCGGAAAACCAATGCAGAAAATATAGACTGTTGTTTTTTGTCTGTTAATATGAGGGTAATTTTGTCTTTTAAGGTAGTAGGGATTGAATTTGTGATGACGGGTAAACCATATTGACCATTTATGTAATTTTGGCGGTGGTGGTGGTGGTGATGATGGCAGTTGGTGGGTGGTTTTATGATATTGGATGAGTATTTTCTAATAAATAAAATATTAATTTAAAACCAAAAAGAGAAATATAAATTAATAAAAAAAATCGGATTAGTAGTAAAAAAGTGATTTCGGTTTTCATCGTTGTTCTCAATGTGTTAAATCTGGTAAACCACAGGGAGCAATCGTGTAATTTTGTCTAACAATAATAATAATAATCATAATAATAATAATGAGGGACCATTTTTGTCAAAAGACTAAATACTAATAATATGTGATAAAAGGCGAGGGTTATGAAAAATTCAAATGAAAGTGAAAGGGTTGTTTGTGAACAAAAGCATAAAGGTGAAGGGTCAATGTTGTAAGTAGTTTTTTTTAAAAAATAAAAAATAAAAAATAAAAATAAAAAATAAAAAAAAAGGAGCAAACATACATAACCTTAGGGACCAATCTTATCAAACACTTAGGGAGCAAACATATATATATATATATATATATATATATATATATATATATATATATATATATATATATATATATATATATATATATATATATATATATATATATATGAACTCGATTTCTCAAATGTCACTTGAAATTGATTAAAATATATGAAATACTAATTATAAGATCCATGTATTACTAATGTATTATATGGGTTTATTTCAAAAAAATAAACAAACATATAAACAACTAAAATAATTGAATTCAATTTAATATTTTAAAAATGATAAGAAAGTTGCATTAATGAATTAGATATATATTTATTATTGCATTTATTATATTTTAGTATTATATAAAATTTAATAAAATGAAGAAAAAAAACTACAAAATAATACATAGATATAATTTAATCTAAATTTACCACAAAATGATATGTAGCATAATGCATAAGAAGATGATAAGTAGCAAAATAATTTTCATTCATTTGAGAGGATGTTTTATCTTATGTTATAAAAGTTACATCTAAGTTAGATGTAACCTTTATAACATAAGATGATGCATAGAAAATCTACTGGTCGCTTCCTTGCTGATGTGTTTTCGTGGTTGGGTATTGTATCGATATGGTTGGAAGTAAAAAGGAGTGTGTCAAGTCGGTTATAATGACCACTTTTTGGGTTTTATGGTCGTTCAAGAATGACATCATTTTTGTAGGAAATAAGGACCGTAAGCAATGGATCATGGACACAATCCTAGATTTTCCATTTAATTGGTTTAAAGGTAGAAATAGAAAATTTACTATTTTATGGGTTAATTGGCTGATTAACGCCTAATTTTGTACTGTTTTTCCCTAGCTTCTAAAAAAGATGATGCATATTTCATATATCCCAATCAATTTCCAACAATCATTTGAAGAAAACAAGTTCATATTAAAATTAAATAGTGCTTAGAAATAACTATAAAAAAAGTTGTCCACTAGATGATTAACGCATAATATCATTGTTTGTATCATACAACTACAATGTGTTAGACGATCTAACGCATGCATTTCTTTGTAGTTATATGGTATAAGTGTTATGAAGTTTTTTTTTTAAATCCTTATGTGGTGTGTTCATAAATCGACATTTACAATATAAAGAAGTTAAGGGTTGTTCTAGTGGTATAAGTTGTTGGCCACTAATACAACCATATTATGTTTGGTATACCCATCACTATACATCATCTTTTTTATTTAAAACTAAATCAAAAAATACAATAAAAACCTAGATACTTTTTTTACAAAATTGTTTTTCATTCATAAAATTAAAAACAAATGCATTAATGAAAAAATGAGAATTTAAAAAAAAAAATACAACAAAAAACATGAAAATCCCAAAGCTTTGTGGGTTGCTTCAACTTTAACCTAAGGTTTGATATAGTAAAAAGCTTTGAAGCATCTTTAACTTTAGTCAAGGTTTGACAATGAAAACTTTGTGGTGGTTGTTTTTTCATATGGTTCTATGGTCGCTAAATACTTCAAAATCATTTGACCAACTTTTGTCTAGGTCGGTAAGATTGTCGTAAATTCCGTCGAAATCGTTACACTTCAGCCTTGTCAGGATTTCGACTAACACTTCCCATTAAACCATAAAAAACGGTTTGAACTTTTTTCCGAAAACAATTAGATATTGAGCATCTCTCATTAAGGGTTATTAGGAAGTTGAAACTCATGTTTGTCTTAATTTCTCTTTTTCCTCTTTCATGCAAGCCATCCTTTCGCTTTGATTGGTTTTAGGAGGCTTTTTTCCTTTCTTATTTTTTGGTTGGGTTGTTCTAGCTGTGTTTCAGCTATAAAAATCCGATGGATCTAGTGGTGAAAATATGGTTGTGAAGGTTGGGGTGGTAAAGGTTATCCCGGTGATGGTTGTGGTTATGTTTAGAAATGTAGTTGGTATACGAAAGAATGTTAGAATTGTTGTGGATAGGGTTATTGATAAGGCGGGAAAGTTTGGTATGATTATTGAAAAAAATAGAATTTGTGGGATATGAAAGCACCTTGGGCAAGTTCATAAAATCACCATGAGGTGATTCCATATCAGTGAATTCCATGGTCAAGACGAGCAGCATCAATGGTGATAATACATGAGTTAAGTGCAACAAATTGACTCCAATCACCTTTTTGAGCATTTTATAGACAGAACGACAAAAAAAATCCATATATTTTCTACATGTTTATAAAGGTAACATCGAATCCAAAAATCCAATAAAGCAAGTGTCAGTCTACCTTATTAAGATGCCATTCTTTGCATCTTTGCTTCATTTTGATTTTGTTGGAGTTTGAAAGATTATTAATTTTCACATGTAAAAATGTATTGGTATTGAATTTTAGACCCTTTTTCTTTCTTATAATGAACCTTACCAATGAATGCAGTGCTACAAATTTGTCTTGTATAGGCACTCGAAAACCCTATAAAGCATATATATTATGCTATTTCGTTTTTAGAAACATTTCACATTAGCTTCTTAGATTTCTGTTGTGATGATGAGTAGCAACAAAACAAGAATGTGACACCATACAAAATCTTGTTATAAACCTCCCTCCGTTTACGAGAAGTCAAATAACACAAAATTACTAAGCTGTTAGCTGTTACATTTTATATCTTATTCGCGTGTGTATATATATATATATATATAAGCAATGAATTTCCTTAGAAATTTACAAAGGCTTTCTTCGACATCATCTCATTAACTATGAAGTTGACCTCCATCTAAAAAGTCAACCCCTCTCTCTCACTCTCTGTCCTTCACGTGTTTCATGATTTAGAAACCTAATTCATGTGTTTGTGTGTGTATCTAAGATATACATGGATGGATCTTAGAAACATGAAAACCAATCATGATAGGATATATATGTATATGTACCGACCTACAAAAGAATCAAAGTGTAATTTTAATTTTTTATTTTGTTCTCCTGAGTTTGTGTATTAAATTAAACTATTAATAAGCCTTTTTTTCTGCATTTAAGTATAAAAGAAGAGTAAAGTGAAGTCACCTTGTGTGTGTGTGTGTAGTGGCTGATACAAATACAATGGATGAGTCATCATCTTATCTTCCTGGCACAACGCGGTAGTTGAGAACAAGGTCTTCGGTTTTTTTCCATATGTAAGTCCGGACAGTAGCCAAGCTCATCTCAGGATTTAAGACCTATTATTTATTTATTTTTTTTTATAAAAAAATTATATCAAATTAATAAGCGAAGTCATAGTATAAAAAAGTAAAAGAAGGATAAGGATATGTTACATGCCTGATTATTGCACAAGATCTCTACAGATGGTTTTAGCTTTTGCCAAGGCTTCAATCCCATGGATTTAAAGGAACCATCTCCAACAAAAGGAAGTGGCAACTGCCCTCCCGCATCATTAATCAAACTATCCAATGGCTTCTCCACAACCATCTTCTCCACCACATAGTTCACAACCTAGAATGTAAATAATACCAAATCACCAAAATACCCTTTTATTTATTAGATACTTAATTATGAAACTCTTCAAACACCTTATACAACAGGAGGACAATTTGGTGTTTTAATGAAAGAAGAAAAGAAGAATGGAGTTAGAGTTACCTTGTGTATTCTTAAAATACGAGGTGCGCTCAGCTTCCCTTGTGTTAAGATCTGGAGAGCTGAACCTTCATATGGTTGCAAGTAAAAGCTGCACCTGAAAATGGGGATACGAATATATATTATTATTTCTGAAAGCATGACAACCATTCCGATAATTAACAGTTTTTCTTTTTTTCAGAAAAGAAAAAGAAGTGAAAATTATAAGGAAATAGGATTACTTGGTATTTTCCCTGGGTGGCAACCGATTATGCAAGACACAATCCAAAACCCACCATGGGAACTCCTCGTCTTCTACTCCATCAAGCTCAGTAATTTTCCTCCTCCATTGACCACCTTGAGAACCCTCCGTGATAACTGAAGGAGGTGAAGTAGTTGAAAATTCAAACGGAGGATACACCACACAATCATTTTCACCATTAACATCTACTTCAACTCTCGAATGTGTAATGCTCCTACCAGAAATATCCCTATCCCTGACAGATGTCACTTCCCCATTGGCCAAAGGTTGAGATCCATATTTAACCTTTTTTTTAGCCAGCCAATGAGCCAGCAACCCTTTGAGTGTTTCCCGTGCCAAGTTAATCTGCATCACATTCACATGTTGGTCAGTCAATATTGTGAGATTATTTTACTTTTTATAATTTTACAAAAATGTAATGTAATATTTTACCTTATCGTCCTCAGCTTTTTCGGTGATGTTGAGGTCAATAGCATACATCTCTGCAGAGAAGCATTGTGGGGTATCCAAATGCACTGACAAGGACCCCAGTCTAGAATCTACAGTGAACCACGCAGGTATGCTGACCTGGTGAACCAAAAAAACAAATCAGAAAAAGAAAAGGCAACAAAAATAAGAAAAGTATTGTTCGGCTAAAATGAGGAAACTATCAAGAAGTACCATCTCAAAAAGTTCTTCCTTCTTCTTCTCGAATGAAACCTAAAAAAATCAGAAAAAGATAAAAATTAAAATCAGGGATATTCTTCTCTTCCTATATTATTTATAAACCCCATGTCAGTAACCTTTCCATAGTCCTGAATCACAACGCCTTTAGTGATCTCCCAAAGCTTCACAGAACCACCATTATCCTATCAAAAAAGACGTTTAAAGTTTAAATACCATAGCTTCATTCAGCCATGTTATGGTCCCTGTGGTTTGGTGGACTTGCAGGTTCAGTCCAATTTCAATTTTTGTTGCATTTTTGGTCCTTCTGACTCACACCCCTAGAAATGAGGCGTTATGCCCTTATAAAATTACCATTTTACCCCTGTTTTGTCTAGCAAATTACAAATTTGATCCCTGTGGTCGATTCTGTTCTTCCTAGTCTGGTCGAAAAGTATAATGGTCATTGTCAGAAAAATTAACAGCTGACTGAGCCTGTCATTTTCACCAAACCATAGGGACCAATTCTGTAATCTACTCTAAAAAGAATATAACCATAGAAAAATAAATATTCCCTCAAACTGCAAAACCATTGTGAATAAAAGAGAAGGCAAAATCCAAATTTACCTTTGTGAGGACATGTCTTCTATTGTTTAGAATTTCATGCTGCACTATGCCAGGAATCCCCTCAACAGTGAGTGTTGGCTCTCTATAGACAGGGACCTAAACATCATTTAATAAGTTTGGTCAGTAAATAATGAACATAAAAATACAAGTAAATTACAAACTTGGTCCTTGTGCTTTAATTAGAACCACAAGTTTGGTCTAATGTTTTGAAATCTTCCCAAAGTCATCCTTAAATTTGCATTTTGTTGTGGATTTGGTCCCTGTGCATTAATCAATACCACAAGTCTGGTCCAATGTTATTTCAGGGACTAAATGTCTATATCCGCAATGAAACACAAACTTAACGACAACTTCGGGAAGATTTCAAAAACTGGACCAAACTTGCGATTTTGAGTAAAGCACAGGGACTAAATTTGTAATTTACTCCAAAAGTAATTACATATAAGTTAACTCACAGGGGTAGATCCTTCCAAGGAAGCACGTGCCCTTGAAAACGACAAGTTTCCAGCAAGAAACGAACCACCTCTCTGAAACACTTGTTGAGGATTCTGATCTTCAATAGGCCATCTATGCACAGAAGAATCTGTAGTTGCAACCCAAATTCCATCATCATGTAATGCTAATTTCTGAATAGGATGTTCCCTTGTGCACAATAAGATACTCTCCCTTGTTGCAAGGTCTGTCAAGTACAAAGAAAGATCTCTTCCACCACTGTACACATGGCTAAATGATGGAGTGCTTGCAAGTGCCCATACAGAATCCATATGAACAGCATATGAGTGGACACATCGTTGTTGTCCAAGATCCCATAATCTGTAAATATTAATATTTGGAATGTAAGGGTAAAATGGTCATTTAGCTTCATCCACATGATTTATTGATGAATACCATGTTGTTACTTGTTACCTACCTGATCATAGAATCAGAGGATCCTGATAAGCAGAATCTGCAACCATTTAATTAAAAAAAAAAAAGTCAACCATATCATCACAACCAAATAAAAAAAACACCATATGACACACCTCCCTGTAGAGTCAAGAAGCAGAGCCCTGACATTATCTGTGTGCCCTCGAAGCTTCATTGTTTTTGAACCAGTTCTAGAATCCCAAACACGTACAGCCTATAAAAAAGTTCAACAGTTTTAAGATATAATATACACAATCTGTGTAATGATTGTTAAATTTGCTATGCTATGTTTTGTATAATTCAAGGAGTATACCTTTTCAGTCCCACCTGAGACCAGAAGAGTTCCACTATCATTCATTGCTAATGCATATACAGACTCCTTATGTCCTTTAGCAACAACAGGAACATATCCTTGAGGTTGATTTGTATGTGATGAAATACTGTTGCTTGAGCTGATAGTTCGCAGACTTGTAACTGGAAATGAACCATTGATGCCATTTGAACAATCATCATCACCCTCGTTTGACTTGGTCAAAGGAGCAAGTGCACCTTCAAGATCCCATATGAACACCTCACCACCTAAACCACCAGAGGCAACAATATTTCCCTATAACAATATAAAAAGAATATAAACCACGTGCAAATTGCAATAATAGAACCCAAAAGGAATGAAGAAAGTTTTTAGTAAAGTTACATTTCTCTCTGCAGAAGCAAGACAAGTGACATAATCTGTGTGTTGGCGGAAAGTTCCTGTGCAAGTTCCATCAGAAAAGCAATCCCATGTCTGATAAAACCCAATGTAACATTAGTAGATTCATTTCATCATGGATTTGAAAATCAATTATATAAGATGAAAACAAACCTTAACAGTGGTGTCTGAGGAGCAGGAGACAAGGGTATTTTCTCCTACAAGGACTGCATCATTGACCTGTTAATAAAAGTTTAAAACATATATTTGTGATCTTGCAGAAAGTATGAAATAAAAAAGAAAAAAAAAAAAAAAAAAAAAGGAACATACCCAGTCTACATGAGACTCAAATGTAGCTGAACAAGTAGCACTGTTTTCAGACACTTCCCATCTCTTTAACCTCCCATCACGGCTACCAGTGAAAAGGTAACTACAATTATCTGGAGCTGATGATTTTCGTAGGGCCAAACTATTTACACCTGCACAATGCTGCAAAAAAAATAGTTCACTGTAAGTTTGTATTTATACACAATCTTTTTAAAACAAGTAAATGTCTATTGATCTATCACAAATAGGAGAAAAAAAAACAAATTGATTAAACCTGAACCTTTGTATCATCAGCATCAGTCAACACATAAGTCAATCGCTTCTCCTTACGAGCACGAACTGAATTGGAAGTGTTGCCTGCACTACCAACCCTGTGCATTGCAGAATTTCCTAAAGAAAGAAGAAACTCAAGGTATGAAATATGAATACAATACTGAATTTTCTTTAATACAATCAAAAACTTTGATTATGATCTTATACTATGTTATTAACCATCAGTTACAGGTAGACATGATAAGAAATGTTTTATCTTTTGGTCATTTCTTGTTCTAGAAACTCAGACTCTTTCTTGTTCAGTTCTAATATAAACTTCGTATCTAAGCATTGGAAAATTCTAGGGCTTATGTTTGGAGAATCTCATGACATGTAATATCAGTTAGTAACTTAGTATCATTTCAAAAGCAATAATATTCAACCTCCAATAAAGCTCATTAGCAAACAAAAACTGCAAGAATAGTTAAGAATTAAGATAAAGCTACTAAAACCAACCAAACACACAAGATATACTTGATATATTTTACAAGCCAAATGAGAACCCCTTTCCAACACCACTAAAAATATCATACAGATACTTGATGATGCTTACTAATATCAAACACAGGAAGCGAAACCAACAAATTAGCTCCTAATCCTTCAAATTTTAACTTCAATTTTCTCTTGCAGTGAAACTTTCCATACTCCAAACACTCATATGCATCAAATGGTATCCCACTGTTCTAATTACTCAGAAATGGAACCATTAAACTTGAAGTTGATTTCAGTATCTAAGCAATAGCAAGTTTTTGAGTAATATTTGGGGGACATTCATAGCATGTAATACCACTTACTATCATTCTCAGAAGCAATTATATTCGATCCGCAATAAGTTCATTACCTTCCTAGTTCATAAAACAGAAACTGCAATAATGATTACGATAAAGCCACTAAAACGAACAAACCAGCCCAACACCCAAAAAATTACTATCCACAAGCCGAATGAAGCTCACGTTGGATCATAATCTAATACAACTTACATCATAAACCAAGCGCAAAGCACACTGCCAAAACAAAATTCGTAAAATAACAAACAGAAAAATATCTTTAAACCCTAAACCGAACTTCCGCTAAATTCTATCATCCGAAACTCAATAGTCAATACTAATAAAATCATACAGAGATTTGGTGGTGCTCACCGAAATCCAAATCGATACGAAGCAAAATCAACAACGAGATCCTCTGATCCTTGAAATTCGAACTTCAATTTCTCCGAATGAAGTGAAAATTTTCATACAAACGACACTCAGACGGCATCAAACGGTAGTGATTATTATTGAAGTTGAATTCAGATTATAAGAATAAGTAATTAAAACTCAAACTTGAAATTGCAAATTGACGAATGTTTGCGAGGTTAGAGACGAAGGAAGGGAGAACATGGCAGTGAATAATAATGCTACGTATTGGTTTGGGGGTGAACGCTTTGACTCGGTAATTTCTCTTTGGTGAAGGGTAGTTTCGGCATTATCGACGTTTGGATAAAATGCTTCGATAAGGATTAAGAAAGGAATGCCGTTTCCACAACGGCGCTATTGCGACTACGTTTGCAAAAAGCCCGGTAAGCCGGTCCCCCCGGAAAGTCTTGTCGCGGCGGTGAAAAAGCCAGGTACGTACCTAAGACAGTCCCGGTTAATCCTGTTCGTTGGATCGAACTATAAAAGGCTATTTTCATCTAATTCTTTAGAAAATATTTATATTATTTTTTGGTGTATTAAAATTTTTATTTATCTTTTTTAAGTTTGATTTAAGATTTTTTGACCTCAAAAAATCCCAATTTATCTTCATACAACAATTAACAAAACATTATATCATCAACTGGTCGAGAAAAAAAAAAGTGTGGGGGAATTTTGATTGCATACGAAATATCCAAGGGGAATGAAAAAGTTAGATGTAAAAAGTGTGGGTTGTTCATGGGAAAATATGGCAATAGTATTTTGGAGGCTCATACAATTAAAACGTATCCGTTTTAAAAAAATCAAGTGAATCTGGATCAACAGAATATTATTCTCGATAGCATGATCTTTATTTACAACAATGATGTGATTCGAGAAAGTTTTTGCAACTTCGTGATTCAAGCGTATCTGGCTCAACATAATATTACTTCCGACAGCGTAGTCTTTATTTACAACAATGATATGATTAGAGAAAGCTCTTGCAAGTTCGTGATTCAAGCGAATCCAAATGAACAGTTACTCTTGACAGCGCGGTCTTTATTTACAACGATGATGTGATTCGAGAAAGTTTTTGTAAGTTCATGATTCATAAAAAATTAATTGCAAAATATAAACTTATGTTAGATTGCTCGTATTTTCGTATCCAATGTGTTTGTCGTATGACTAATTTGGTGGTGCAGGATGATATAAAACAAATAAATCCTACAATTGAAAACTCAAAATATTGTTAACAAAAGTTTTTGGATTTAAAAAAAAAAAAAAAAAAAAAAAAAAAAAAAAAAAAAACTACAATGGAAAAATATCTATGTTTTGTATTTTCCGTCAATGTAACTCCATATAGCTCTCATTGTTAACACTAAATGGAGTTCAATGTGTATGATGTTTGAAAGTTTGAAACATCAAATACTAGCTTTGTAATTATTTTACAACATACTTTCAAAAGGAAAACACAGGTTCGGATTATGACTGGGATTTTATGGAAATATTTGTGGAAATGGTAAACGTTTTTAAACAATCAACATTTTTATATAGGATATATATTATCCTACAAGTCCTTTATTACTATATGAGTATGGTTGATGAACATCCCAAAAATACAATCTAAAGAATTCATTTTTAATCATTAATAAAACCATAAATATCATTCATCATATAAAAATCATAAGTTGTGTATCTCAAAAATATCATAAACAACTATCAATATACCATAGTATAAACATCTTAGGCTGAAACAAAATGGTGTGTACACTGCAGTCATCCCGAGCTCTTACCTTTGCTACCGGAAGTACCTGAAACTAAAACTGAAAACTACAAGCACGAAGCTTAGTGTGTGTCCCCAAACTACTACATATCATACATATAAACACATAATCCCATAATAACATACATTGGGCCTTGCCCGCTACATCGGGCCCCGCCCGGGCGCCCGGCATCGGGTCGAAGTCCGGCATCGAGCAAAGCTCGGTATACATAAGCATATCAACAAATACATATAAACATAAACACATAACATAAATAAATAAACATTCCTCGGGCCCCGCCCGGCATCGAACCAAAATCGGGAAGCATATAAACATTCCTCGGAAATGAGGCCAACATTTGGGTAACCATTTGGATGTTCCGAATCCAATCATTAAAATTTGTCCCATCGAAGATCACCCTCCCACACAAGTTCATGAGTGAGAACGAGTCGGATGAGGTGGAGCCTGAAGCGTTGTGGTTGTTCTAATTATACATCTGAAAAGGAAAAGAGATAAAGTTTGATTAGATAAGAATCCATAATTAAACACCCAAATGAGAAATTAGGGCTAGAAACCAACAACATTATTTGCAATTTAGAAGAGGAATGTCGTAATCTAAACAACAAATAATTTGAAGGTAAGTGAATGATGATTGCTAATTTCCACCATGAAAAGCAATTAAGTTTTAAATGTATTGAAACTCCTAGATCTTTTGAGATCCATTGAACTTTTCAATGACATGTTTAAATCTCGATATGCCCTTCAAGTTTTTGACTGGGATACCGAGGATCACATACAGGGTGTGAATAACCATGCAAATATATATGGTGCCCTTAATGTTACAGTCACCTAATCATGCAAATGTACATCGAGTCACCCTTTGTCACCTTTGCCTAGACCCAAATTAGTGTGTTGGTTAACCACACACGCTCTACTAACGTCTTAGCAAGGGTACAAAGTGTAATTTCATGGAATAGCATCATATTCACATTTTGCCTAAAGTAACTAAGATTAGGAATTTTATAAAGCATTTATAAATCATTATACTTTTAATGGGGGATTGGTTGCCCCATCCTACCCGTTTGGCTAACGACCCTCCACCAACCAAGAAAGCGGTGCGTGAGAGTGGACACCCATTAAACGGCCATTTTATAGGCCATAACCTTATACCCCCTTATAGATTGGCTTCGTGAATGAACTCTACTAACGGTAAGACTAGCATTTAAGTTATACATATATAATAATTATTCTTATAATATTATAATAGTATAGGGTAGAATTTTAAACTTGTAAAATTCTAGGGTTTGGAATTTAATTATTTCAAAATTAAATTTTTAATCAAAATTTAAATTTCAAAACTTAGGGCACGTTTTGAAACATTTCAAAACTATCTAGATCAAAATTCAAATAAATAATTAAACAATTAATTTTGGTAATTATCTAATTTTGACCTTTCAATTTTCATGCAAAATAATTATCAAATAATTCAAATAATTAATATTTATCAAATAAGGTAATAATTATCTAATTAAATGACAAAAATCTTTTATTTTGACAAGGATAATCATAAGGAATCAATAAAATTTGTATTTCATCAATTAGAAACAGTTACGACAATTATCCTAAGTCAAAACTAGCAAAAATCCCAAAAATTCCTCTGTCTGACAGCCCGACTCGTCAAGCCCCTTGCAGGACTCACCGAGTTCATCCTACTCGTCGAGTACCTCATTGGGATTGACGAGTCTGTCAAGTACAAAGCACAAAAATCGATTTTCAGCAATGAACAAATGTACCACGCATCAAATACAATAGAAACCAAACAAGTCTCTGATACCACTGATGGGTTTTGAGCAAAAGAACATCCTATGTGCACATGCAAAACCCTAAAACTTTGGATCTAGATTTCTATATTGTACATGCAAATTTATCCAAAGCTTGAAACCCTAATCTAGCATACTATTAAAACGAAATCTAGAATAAAACACGTTTAGATGATACCTTTCAATAGTAGCAAGAATCTTTGATCTTCAAGAAGCTTAGTGTCACAAGTGTAACACCTCTAATGGCTTACAAACACCACAAGCAAGAAGATGATCTAGGAGAAAGGAGATGAGAGACACAATTTTGGCTATAGTAACCTTAGGGTTTCTTGGTGTAGCCGAAACTAAAGCCCTGGGGTCCCTTATATAGCTGAGATGCTAGGGTTTCAGTCAAGACCCTAATTGGATGACTTAGGCCCTAAGCAGCTTAAGAACCTTCTGGAATAAGGCCTCCTTGGATGAAATTAGAGTGGGCTTGCACTCCAAATTTTGTCCCCCTTAATCCCATGAGGATTCACAACCCAAAACCAACTATCACATAATTGATAGTTTCAGTCCCCTTTATTTAATTAATCTCTTTCAGCCACTAAGTTAATTCTTAATTAATTATTGACTCATATTAATCAAACTATATGATTTCTCTTTTAATATATTATTCATATAATATATTAATAAACCATAATAACTTCTCTCTCTCCATAAATCATCCTATCCAGTTGCTTTGGTGAAGGCAACCCAAAATGATCATGCACAACCGGGTCAAGTACATAACAAATATAGTTATGGGCTTAGACACTAATCCAACAACACATACATCTAGCATCCTAACATAATAAACCATTGGCAGGCATTGGTGTCTTCGACCCGCTAAACATGGTAATGAAAACTCACCTCAAATTGCTGAATCACACAGATAAATATATGCTTGTTGGTCTGACAATCATCATGCTATCATCATAAAACAACATCTAATTAATATTGGATCTTGGCCCATACCAATAATCCAAGACACTTAGCCCAAGCCCAGGGTAAAATCATTTTACCCTTTTTCCTATTTTGGCCCAAAACCAAGGCCCAGTTATCGCCTAAAAGGCCCAAATGTGGCATAATCTTCCAAATTGGGCTCGAAGCCCACCATGGCCTAAAATCCAAGGGAACCCAAAGCACTAGCCAAAAGCCTAAATCAGAAGCCTAATGGCCCCAACAAGGCCCAAATGAAGAAAACCCAGCCTATGGCCTAAACCGAGAATGCAAGCCCAAAAAGCCCATCTACTGAGTATATGGGGCGTACTCAGCTTGTATGCTTAGCGTACATCATCTGGGGCTAGTACGCCTAGCATACTCCCCATCTTGCCACCCTACTCCATTAAGCACTTAATCTATTAAGATTTCAAGTCAAATTCTCATATCTGATTCTATAAGACCACTTATCACGTAAAGTTGGAAACGTTACACACATGATGGGCTCAAGAGCTTAATAAAGGTCTTAACACATGCATGGGTCCAAATGTTCCATAAATTTGACATTTTTTTGAACTTGGGGACTGAATGGAGCTAAGATCTAGTATCTATTGCCTCTGGAGTAGATCAATAGCTCTCCTTTAATACATGGACTCAAAAAGATGCACAAATGTTCCATGAACTAGATCTAACATAGAATAGGGTGTAAGATTTTTACATCAAAAAGCTTGCAAATGTGGAAGTGATATTAGATCCACAAGCTCAATCAAC